TGTCTAGTATTCTCACCACCTGTGGCTGATACCTTGCCCTTCGGTCATATAATTAAGTTCCATAGAACGCCACCATTGGGATAGATCTACAAGCTCCAAATTGGGATAGAATGGCTTAAAATTAACCTCTTTTTTGGAAATTGTGTGATGGAGTCTGCCATCGCCAGTTTGGATTAGAGTGGGCTTTTTTTACTGGAGTTAGACCAGAAGCCTTTTCTCGTGCAACCTTCCTTGTTTCGACCTGTTTTCAGCCCGCGATCGTCGGGAAGACCAGAGGTCCCATCTTTATGCAGCCTAACTAATTTTGGAAGATGATTTGCGGCTGATTGGGTATGACATGAATTGGAAGCCGGTCAACCAATATATCTTGAATATTTATTTTACAAGATATAAAAAATTTTTATTATTAAAGACCTATGGATCTATAATATAATAGTAATGCTCTATAGGTTATCAGGAGAAGATCTAGGGTTTAACCTCATCTGATTATAAAAATTTATTACTTTCATGATTGGTTGATCGGCTTTCAATTCATGTTATATCCAATCAGTCGACAATCTATTTTCAAATTTAATTAGGCTGCATAAAGATAAAACCTCTGGTTTTTTTGATGATTATAGACTGAAAACAGGTCGAAGCAAGGAAGGTTAGATAGAAAAAGGTCTCTAATCTAACTCCAATATAAGCCCACAATCCCAACTGGCATGATAGATTTTGTAACACCACCTTCTATTCAAGTTGAATGACTTCTTGAATAAGTTGTATCTAATCAATCAATTTCTTCAAACCGACATAACAGACTTCATATAATGCAAATGAATTCCATTACTCTATTTAATGTTAGTGCAATCTGGATTGATGATCCAATTGGGAAAGAGTAGAGTCATAAGCCAAAAAAGATGACTGCTAGGAAGATTTTTCAACTGTTGAACAGGATTTTTCTTACCTTATATTCACAAATAAGAAATCATAGTATAAACCAAGATATGGACTCATCTACTTAATGTAAAATGTTGATATTCTGGTAAAAGGGGGTAGGTAACTTGAGTTAATATTAGCAATATGTTAATAGACTATTCATGTGTAAACAATTGTAATCTTAAGTGATCTCACAATAAAGTACATACGTGTATTGCAACTTAGCCCTCAAAAAAAAAAAAATAAAATTTTATTATTAAACATTAATCTGTTACACATCAGCCAATCATATTTTAATAAAGGTAACACAAGGTTCGTTTCTTCAGTCAACTTAGACTCCTTTCAGTGAAATTATGGAACAGGTATGTGATTATAAAAGGTCACGGCGTTTACCTCTGTCCATCCATGAATCGGCTTTCTTACTCGCGAAAAAGATCCAATAAACCCATGAGGTTAAAACCATTGCCTTACTAAAATGGACCGACACCAATGTGTCATGATGTTCAACAGTAAACGATCAATACCTCTAACTTACGCGGATGAAATATCAAGGAAAGGTGCGAGTCTCCAGCGATGAGCAATAAGAATACCTCTTGCGATAACAAGATTTCTTGCGCAAACGATACTCGGAGCGCAGGATTAGGTTAAAAACAGCACGAGCCATGATCGTCGCTCATTATAGATTTCGTGAATTTTTAAAGCACTAGATGTCAGAGTACCTGGACGAATCTGTGCCTATGTACTGAGGAATATGCGATCAAGACTTGCGGATGATCAATGATCTTTTGATGTGAGAATTGCGGATTAAGGATGGACGGGGCGAGAAACATCTTGCTGAGTCAGGGCAACCTGAAGTTGTGACCTGACAACTGTTCGTGTATAAAGATGCGTTTTCTAACATCTGTTATCAAAAATTCATTCTTTCTTGTAGGAACAAAATCCGGTTTCTACGATTTATTCTGCTTTGGAAAATGTTCCTCTGATTTTGGCACCACAATTTTCCGCGTTAAAACCCGTAGGCTTCTTTCTCAATCATTTTCGTCTAAATTTGAAAATTTTTTTAAAATTTTTTAATTTACAGATAGTAATTTCCCAAGAATTTAATCTAGATCTACCCACCATAGTAAGCATTTGCGAACATCGATCCAAATTTACATTTTTCTCATCAAATTATTCTATTTTATGGACTAATTTATTTGTTATTATTTAGAGTAGAAATGATTTTAATTTCGAACGTCGAATTATTGCTGAAATTGAAAGGTTTCAACAGGAAAGTGAAGAAATAGCACGAGCGCGAGCTCAAAAGTTGCAAGCTCTTCAAGAAGAAAGAATTCGGAAACAAAAGGAAGAAGCAAGGAAGATAGCTCCCGGTTTTTTGGATACGGATCAAAAAATTCTTAC